TGGCTATGAGACTGGAACTATATTTGTTCAGCCTTGCAACACTTTGTATGCCTCCCAATGGCCTGAACTTGCCTCCCCACTTTTCTTAGAGTTACTTTAACACTTCCGTAGAATTCTGTTTTTATTTGACTAGAATGTTTTTGAGTGTATGCCTTTGATATGGCTTGTTAGTGGTAGCTCTTAAGTATTACATTATATATACATAACACCACATTTTACTGAGTATAGAAACCTTACCTACGTTTACATCCATTGGCCCTGTTACAATATCTAAGTTTCTTTACGTACTTTTGGAACTGTATCAGATATTGTTAACTTTTTGTTTAAACTGTCAAGCATAATGTAGACTATATAAGAGAAAGAAAATGTGATGTTTTTCAGTATTTTTATTTTTTCCACTGCCATGTATTCTTGCTTGTTATTCCAAGACTGTGTTTTCATCATTTCATTTTTTTTTTTCTTTTTGGTCTTTTTCCTTTTTATCAGTACTAGGGATCGAACTCACAACTGCCTTGCTTATGCTACTGAGCTAAATCCCCAGCCTCTATCATTTCATTTCTGTACAATGAATTTTCTTCAGATTTTTTTAGGGTAGGTCTATAGGCAATGATTTTTTTTTTTGGTTTCCTTTTCATCTGAGAATGTATTGATTTCCCCATTGATTAGTAAAGTATACTTTTTTGCTAGATATAGAATTATAGGTTAAAGTTACATTTCTTTTTCCTGCTTTTGAAAAGTAGTATGCCTCATCCTTCTGGACTTCATGAGAAATGTGTCATCCCGGGAATATCCCTCTTTCCAGCATGAGCCGCCTCCACTGTGTCCTGTTTGAGAGAGGTGTCATTTCTCTTTTGTTACACTCAAGATTTCTATCTTTCTCTTTAGTTTTTATAAGTTTGAGTTTGGTGTTTCTTTCCATAGATTTCTTAGAGGTTACCTTGCTTGGAGTTTCCTACAGTTGTTTCAAACTAACAAGACCAACATTCCAAAAATCCATAAGTTAACAGTATGCAGTTTGACATTCCTTTTTTCTTTTCTGTTTTTTTTTTTTTACATTTCTTTATGATTTTTGTCTTTAAATAAGTTCCATTGTGGTTTGAGGTCAGAATACTGAATTTGAACATGACAATTGAATTCTACTTTTTTCTTTTGTTTTAAATAGGCTTGTTTTGGCTTATGTGTAATTTTTAAAAATTTTCTACCATTTTAATGTTTCTGAATTGTGTAAAGTATCTAAATATTTTACAGTACCAAATTCACATAACAACTGTCACTTTCAGCTTGATGCTGTTTATTTTGCACCTTTACCCACATTTTTTTTGTGGTACCGTGGAACAAACTCACAACTACACGCTTGCCAGGTAGGCACTTATGCCACTGAGCTAAATCCCTGGCTTACTCACATATTTAGCTTTATTACATTTTGACTTATTCCTTTCATCTTAAAAATAGAAACAAATCAATGTATGTGTGTATATAATTGCACATTTTTCATATATTAATGTTTATGTGCATTTCTTTTTACAACGCACATTCATATTTATTTCTCTCCCATTTTATAGGTTGTTAAAACGTTTTCTATACAGTTGTTTTCCCTAATATATTTTGAAGATTATTCTGCATGGTTAAGTAGAGGTTATTTTCATTGCTTTTAATAGCTCCGTAGAACTGAATAATGTAGCCTTGGTGTTTAGATTTGAAGGATATACTATTTATTCAGTCAGTTCCTTATTGAAGAACATTTGGGTTATTTCCAGTCTTGGTATTACAGATAGTGCTTCAGTGAATAGATTTGTACATATGTCTTTTTGTATTTTGCCAGCATATCTTTGGGATAGATTCCTAGAAGTGGGATTGCTGGATTGAAAGGTAAATACATACGCAATTTTGCTAGATATTGCCAAGCTTTCTTCCACAGGAGTTGTGTGACTGTGCTTTACCTGTTTTATGATTTCAACATAGAGAATATTTTGAGACTTTAAAGTTCTTTCTAATCTGGTAATTCAGTGTACTTTTAATTTACTTTTTTATAAAAGTGAGAAGTTGTATATTTTCATATATTTATGATTATTTTGTTTCTTTTTTATTCTCTTTTCATAAGTTTTGCTTATCATCCTGTCAGATCATTAATCTTATTCTCAGCTTTAGTAGTTTTTAATGTGTAAGAAATTTTGTTTGATTAGTCTACAAATTGTTGTTACTATTTATTTTTCATTTTTAAATTAGCATGCTGCTGCAAGCATTAGATTCCTTCCCTAGGACCATGAATACTGACTTTCTATTGGCCTGTACTTCCAGGTTGTTCTCCAAGCAGTTTTTGTCAACTTTTATTCTTAGTGAAAAATTTCAAGTTCATAAAAATATGGGAAAAAATATAACAAACTGTCTGTACCTTGAAAAGTTAGAAAATTGTACCATTCCCTAATATTTGTTTGTATTTTTTGTGCTAAGATGTTCACAATACGAATATTACCCAGTAAGCATTTTAAAGTGGCATTAAGTAAGTTCACATTGTAATGCAGTCATCACCACCATTCATCTCCAGAACTGTTTTTCCAAAGTAGAAATTGATTCCCTTTTATAAATAACTCGCCAGTTCTTTTTTCCACCATGCTACTTTGGGGCTCCAGAGTAACTAATCTGGGTACCTTACATAAATGGAATCGTGTAGCATTTACTTGTTGTGATGTCTTTTATTTTGCTTAGCATAATATCCTCAAGGCTCATCCATAACATAGCATGTAACAAGATTTTCTTTCCAAAACTAAGTAATTTTCTATTATGTTCATACACCACGTTTTGTTTGTCCATTTGTCTATTGATAGAAACTTGGGTTGCTTTTACTTCAGTGGCTACTGTGAATATTGTTGTTAGGAACATTCATGTACCAGTCCTGTTTGAGTCCCTTTCATTTCTTTTGAATATGTATCCAGAGGTGGAATCACTGGATCCTGTGATAATTTCTAAAAAGCTGTTTTTGAGAAACTGCTATATAGTTTTCTACAGTTTTACATTCCTACAGTAGTGCACAAGGATACTAATTATTTTCTACTGTTTTGAAATAGCCATTCGAATGTGTGTGAGACACTATTTCATTGTGGCTCTGATATGCATTTTCATATGATCAGTAATATTAGACTTCTTTGCATGTGTTTCCATTTTTAAAAAGAATAAAACAATACTATTAGTATTTCCTTCTAATATTGCTATCTTTTTCCCCAAAAAAGTAATATTGGTAAAGTTCATACATATTCTTTCTAACCTTGTTTTTCTATGCTTATTAATATGCTTGTATTCATAAACATTATGCTGCAGTTTTATTTTCAAGCCTAAATTTTCTAGCTGTTTTTCATTCTGTACTTATCTTTTCTACTTGACATTTTTTGAGATTTATGTTGGTACTAGCTTATTCGTTTCAACTGCTATATACATAACAGTGTTCTATTGACTGACTGCAACAATTTATCTATGCTCCTACTACTGATTGCTTCTAGTCTGTTACTATTACAGATAGAATGGTAGTGAGTACACAGTACTCATATTTGCCTTCTTGCGTTCATGGGGAGCACGGTCCTCCAGAGTATACTCAACTGATTATTGAGAACTTGCTCTGTTCCAGCCATGGTTTTATGAGAATATATGAGGGTGTGATTGAAAAGTGCAGTGAATGTTTAACTTTTGAAAATTTATTAAACTAAAAGGTACATTGCTGTGCATCCCCTCAAAATATTCCCCTATGCTTTGAACACACTTATGCCATTGTTTGTATCAGTTCTGGAAGTCCTCTGTGAATGTCTTTAGTTGTACTGTGTGACTGCCTCTGTGTCTTGAATCATTTGAAAATATTTCCCTTTCATGATCATTTTCATTTCTGAGAAGAGCCAGAAGTCACACAGTGCCAGATCCTCGTAATGAGGACACACCATGATGCTGTTAGAAGCCTGCCTTTCCTTTGGGTGGCGCTCACAGCAACATCTACTGTATTTTTATCATACAGACTTCAATACGCCAGGTATTTTGAGTGTGGGTGAGTGACAGAGACATAGGTGAAACCAAAGCAAAATTTCTCTCTGCATCGAGTTAATGATCCAATAGGGAAGTAAAAGATGTATAGGTAAGAATGAATACCATGAAGAAAGTGGAAGCAGAGCCCTGTTTAGATGGGTACTGATGGAAGGCCTTTCTGAAGGTGGAACATTTGAGCAGAGACTTGAGTGAAATGGAGGTGTGATCTCCACTGGGAGATGAGTCTTGGGGCTGAGAGAACAGTAGACAGGCTTCCAGGCTTCGCAGTGTGTGCGTGATTAAAGAGTGGCAAGGAACCCTTTATCACCTGGAGGAGGTGAGAGTAGATGGGGAGAAAGTTGAAGAGTAGGTGGCTAGGGATTAGATCAGGAAGGATCTTTTTAGTTTCCTGAAGATTTTAGATCTTATTTAAGTATCAGTGAGAGGTGAAAGTGACTGTACATAGGCCTTGTGCTAGAGACATCAGAACGTAGGGTGAGAAATAGACTAGGTATATGTTTAAAGATAGTAACTACAGAACTTTTTTAATGAGTTTGATTTAAAGTGTGAAAGAAATGGAGGGGAAGCAAGAATAACAACTTACATTTTTTGGATTGAGCTGAGATATTGATGAGGGTACTTGTTGGCAAATACTCAGAAAACATCAGTTGGAAATTTAAGTTTGAGATACCTATTAATATACTACATATTTAATATTGGATTCTAAATTGCAGTCCAAAGTGATTGTAACAATTGTATTCATATGAGAACTTCAGATTTGATATTTACTCAGCAAGTAATAGCTGACCAAACTACTACTAATTGATGGGTTTTAATATCTGTAAACTACAGGAACTTGCCATTAAAACAACAAAAAACTACTTAATTCTTTTGTACAAAATCAACAACCTGTCCTGAAGTAAAGTCTGTTAGATTACTAATTTTGTAGTTTTTTTTAAAAACTGAGACCATTTTTGTTTTGTTTTTAATTCCAGATGCTGGATCTGGTATGGAAGAAGTGGAATTAAGCTGGGAAGATTATCTAGAAGAGACAGGGTCCACAGCAGTTCCCTATGGGTCATTTAAACATGTAAGAAATAATTATTTGCTCACTGGTTATATCTTTTTCCTTTTAATCACTGTAATTACTAGAGAATATAGTGTTAAGTTGAGGTGTTTGAAAAACTTTAAGTGCTTTTTTCTTTTTCTTCCTCCTGCTCATTAAGAAAACTTGACATATTCTGTGTGTGTATGTGCATGCATGCGTGCATGCGTGTGTGTGTGTGTGTGTGTTTTGAAACAGGGTCTCGCTATGTAGTTCAGATTGGCCTGGAATTTACTTTGTAGTGTAGATTGGCCTTGAACTCGTGCTGATCTTCCTGACTTAGCCTCCCAAAATATTGGATTTACAAATGTGTGACAAGAAAATTTGACATAATCTAAAATCCTTTTTGGTTTTGTGTATTTTTTTTTCTTCTCAGAATAGTACTTACCGTTTTGACTCTTCACAAGTATTCTTTTATTTTTGTCAAAAACACTTTTCAATAGCCAGACATGGTGATACATACCTGTCATCCCAACACTTGGAAGGCTAAAGCAGAAGGATTGCCCCAAACAGCAAACAACAAACAAAAACCCTTCTCACTGAAAAAAAAATTGTCAAATTTCTTGTACTTCATTGGTTTACTCACTGAAAATGATTTCAGCAATGTTAATTGAGCATAAATGTGTCATCTATTGGGTCTTATTAATGGCCTTTGCAGCCCAGCTTTATGCCTTGACAGCCCAGCTTAGTGCTTTAGCAAGGAATAGCATATTTGGTCTATGTAAAAATTTAGAATGTAAAAAAATATCGAAAATTTAGTTACTGATTTGTGTCTAAGCTGGGCATAGTAGCACATGCTGTAGTTGGGGTACTCTGGGAGGCTAAGGCAGGAAGGTGGCAAGTTCAAGCTCATCTGGGTAATTTAGCAACTTAGTGATACCCTGTCTCAAAAGTTAAAAATAATGAGATGGGGACAGAATTCAGTTCCCAGAACCATCCTATTTTCTTATTTTATTTTATTTTATGACAGAATCTTCCTAAGTTCCCCAAGCAGGGGTCAAACTCATGATCCTCCTGCCTCTGCCTCCCAAACCACTGGAATGACATACATGCACCTCCAGCTTGGGCTAAATTTCTTTTTAAAACTTGCAAAATTAGTAACTGAAATTACTGTGTATTGTGTGCTTTGGACTACTGTGATAAAATATTGGAGATTTGTTTTTTAAACAGTATAAATTACTTTTTCACATTTCTGGAGACTAAAAGTTTAAGATCAGTGTGCTTGGTCAGTTTTTGATAAGATCTTGCTTCCTGGCTTGGAGATAGCAGCCTTCTTGCTGTGCCTTCACATAACATGGAACAGGCTGGGACAGGAAGTATATGTGTGTGCACTTGTGTGGGAGTTCTCTGATGCCTCTTCTTATATTGGGTTGGGGGTGCACCCTGTGATCTTTTTAATCTGACTTCATCTGCTGTGATGTGAGTATTTGTGTCTGCCTACAATTCATGTGTTGAAACCGATCCACCTTTCTGATGATAGGAAGAGATGATGTGGGGACATGAAGACATGAGGGCTTTGAGATGTGAGTAAAGGCTGAGAGCTTTACCTTCACGAATGGAATTATTGCCTATATAAAAGAGACCTGTGAGAGTTTGTTTGCTTATTTCACCATGTGAAATCATAGCAAGAAATCCCTGTTTGTGAAGTACACAGTGAGCTTCACCAGACACAGAATCTGCTAGTGCCTGGATCTTAGACTCTTCAGCTAGTAAAAATGGTAGTCAAGAGATTGCTGTTGTTTGTAAATGACTCAGTCTAAGATACTTTATGGTAGCAGCCTGTATGGATTAAGACCTTTTCTATAAAGGACCCATTTCTAAATGCAGTCATACTAGAGTTTGAGCATAAAAATTTAGAGGTACAGTGCTTTGGTTACTTTTTTCTTTTTTCATGGAAAGCCTGTTAGTGGTTCTGTAATACCTTTGAATTCTTGTTTTTAATTTTATTCCTATTCTAATATGTATTTTATATAATGTTCGAATTAGAGAATAAGACCTCATACCTAAATTCTAGTTTTAAAAATGTCATTTTTTTCTGGGCATGATGATGCATGCCTCTAATCTCAGCACTCAGGAGGCTGAGGCAGGAGTACCTCTGAATTCAAGGCCTGCCTGAACTGCATAGCGAGATCCTGTATCCAAAAAAAGGTCATTTTTAATTAAAGAAAAGCATTTCACTTTTATTCTTCTTTGAATGACGAAACAAAAAGGAGAAACACACACTCTTTCATTGTTTTCTAGGAAATATTTGTAAACCTGAATCATAGAATATGGCAGGGGGCCACCCCACATAGTGAAAACCAAGCGTGGAGAAGGGATACCTATAGCTTATTACAGAAAAAGCTGGTAGAACTTAGATCTTCAGGTCAGTGGAGATGAATGTACAGGCATCTGGCAAGGCTTTTATAGGATCCGGTTTGGAACACAGGAGAAAGGAAAACAAGACTGAAGAAAGAATTGAGAGAAGTCATATTTGATTTTGTTTGTGTTTTTGTCTTTTGAGACAGGGTTTCCCTATGCAGTTCAGGCTGGCCTTGAACTCACTTTGTACCCTAGGCTGGTCACTAATACAGGGCTTCTCCTGCCTCAGCCTCCTGAGTGCTGGGATTACAGGCATGAGCCACCACACTCAGCCTCTCATATTTGAAGAGTGTAAAGGCTTTCCTAATGGCGCATTCTGGTTCAAGAAACGGCACTGATTCTTGAGAGACTAAATTCTACTGGTATTTTAGACAAAATAAAACAACATTGGTTTTACAGCTGTTAAAGAAAGGAATGCAAACCCTATCAATCCTGAGAAACAGGTGAAAGTCTGTAGCAGCCTGAGGAAAAACAGAAAAAACAAAAACAAAAACAAAAAAACCCTTTCGTTCCAGAGGGATGTCTAGAAACACATGCTGAAGCATTAGGAGTCCCTGCAAGGCCCTGGGACACAGACTAAAGTTCAGCTTACAGGGGCTGGGGATTTAGCTCAGCGGCATAAGCGCTTGCCTTGCAAGCAGGCAGTTGTGAGTTCGATCCCTGGTACCGATAAAAAGACCAAAATAAAATAAAATAAAATAAAGTTCAGCTTACAACTGAGGTTGAATCTTCAGAGTGGTTCTCTTCAGCTTATTCTCACCACCAGCTCGTATAACCTTAGGGGAAGGTAAGCTTATGAAGAGACATTCTCTTTGTGCAGTCATAAAGATCTAAGTCTGAGAGTGGAGCAGAGGCATTGACAAAAAGAGCCCTTTGGCAAACGAGCCTATACCCTAAATACTTAATGATGCTATAGGAATTTGAAATCTGTGATGTATGTGCATAAACATAGCAACAGCAAACTCCAGACCCAGCTCCACAGCTAACTAGATTAACTTCATCTTCTTCCTTGAACTAAAGGCCTAAGAAGAAACATGCCCATTTCTAGGAATAATTGTTATTTGCCTAAATATCTGTTGTTCTATGATGTTTTGTTTTCTTAAATTCTTTTTCTTTTTTTAATTTTACTGGGGATCAAACTCATGACCTTGTGCTTGCCAGGCAGGCATTTATACCACTGAGCTAAATACCTGGCCTGATGTTTTGTTTTCAACCAAAAATTATAGGGTACATAAAGAAGCAAGAGAAAAATAACAAACCATTAAGAGACAGCAATCAACAGACCAGACTCATATGGCCCAGATGTTGGAGCTATCAGATGGGATTTTAAATAACTGTGATTAAATGTTAAAGGCCTTAGCACAGCAGAGAACATGAACAAACAGAAAAAGAGTATTAGCAGAGATGAAAACTATTAGAAAGAATGAAGTGAAAATAATACAAATGAAAACATAATGAAAGTTGACAAATACCTTTTTCAGGCTCATCGATAGGCTTGACAACTAAGGAAAAGACTGTGGGAGATCAGAAGGGGGTAGAACAAGACAGAACACCCAACAGCTATGAGATACTGTGCAGTTGTATGAGTTTGTAACTGGAGTCTAGGAGGGTGGAAAGAGAGTGAGGAAAACATATTTGGAAACATAATGACAGTTTCAGTAGGGAAAAAGCTAACACAGCAGAGATCTAGCAGCTCAGGGAATGTAAATCAAAAAATACTAAATAGATAGAACCAACCCGGACACATCATACCAAACTATGAAACCAAAGAAAGAAAATCTAGAAGACTATCTAAGAAGTAAAGACATACTGCAAGTAGAAGAACAAAAAACTACAGCAAAATCTTCAAAAACTAACCCAGAAAATAACAGAGTATGATCTTAAAAATGTTGAAAGAAAAAAGAACACAAAAAGCTGGTCAACTCAGAATTTTGCATCCACCAAGAATTCCATCCAAAAGTGAAGCAGAAATACTTTTTTCCAAGAATGCAAACATTAAAGAGAAATCATTACAAATTAAAAGTTAAAGATGGAAAAATTTGATGTAAGATAGATACCTGAATCTTTACAAAGAAACTTAAAAGATGGTGAGGAAGGGCATATATGTAAGATATATAAAGCTCATTTTTTTCTTAAGTTCAGTGTCTGTAAGAGAGACCTCTGAAGCAAAAATAGTAAAAATGTGTTTATATAATATCAGTAACTATAACAGTACAAGCAGTGAAGAGAAGATTTGGGAGTATAGGGTTGTTAAGATCTTTATATAGTACATGAAGGGTAAAATGTTGTTTGTAAGTAGACTGTATATGTAAAGAAATGTATTGGAAACCTTTCAATCACTACATCATAAACTATTTGTTATAATATACATAAAATTGACCATTTAAGTCATTTTTTAGTTCAGCAGCAGTAAATACATTCAGTGCAACTACATGCAGTTTATCAAAAAGAAAGTAGCATTAAACAGTAACTTCCCACTTCCCCAGCTTTTTGTAGTCCCTGCTAACATCGATTCTGTGTTCTGTATACCTCACATAGTACAATCGTATTTCATTTTTTGGTCTTATTTCAGTTAGCATAGTACTCTTAGCATATCATTATACTTCTACAAAAATTTTTTAGTAGTTCTTGAATTCACAGTGTTTATTTAGAATCAGTCAAAGTGTTTTAAAAATAGCACTTTCATATTATAAGCAGTACAAATTCCTTTACTGAAGTAATCTCAATCCTTCCATATGTCTGTCCTTTGTAACATTGCTGTCATTCATATAATATGATACTTACAAGCTATAGTCAAAAAATATTTTATTGCTATTGTTATTTTAAACAAACTAATCTTTTAAAGTCAATTTAGACTTAAGAATTTAGACAATAAGAAAATTTATTTTGTTATTCCTTTTATTTCTTCTTTTATTCCTTTTATACCTTCTTTTAATCCTCTTCCTTTTCAATTTAAATCCGAATATAATTTTCCTTCTTTTTCTTTTTTTCCCCTTTTTTGAGACAGGATTTTGCTGTGTAGTTCTGGCTGGTCTTGAACTCACAGTGTAGCTTAGACTGTCCTCAAACTTGTAGCAATTGTTCTATCTCAGCCTCCCAAGTGCTAGAATTACAGATGTATGCCACCACACCTGGCCAGTTTTCCTTATTTATAAAGAATTTCTTTTACTATTTCTTGCAAAGTAAATCTAGTTACAAAAATCTCTTAAGATTAGCTGAGCAGCTAACTAGGAGGCTGAGACAAAAGGATCACTACAAGTTCAAGACCAGCCTGGGCAATTTAGAAAGACACTGTCCTCTAAATAAAGTAAGGTGATGATTTATTTAGAAGTAAAAATACAATACTTTTTATTTAGGACTAACAAATAATATTTATTGTGTTATTATATATATATATATATATATATATATAATATTTTTTTTGTCTCAAAAATAAAACGTAAGAAGAGTAAGGATGTTATTTAGTCTGATGGATTGGGTTCAGTCTGCAGTATCCCTTTTCCCAATAAAAGAAGGTAAATAGTAGGCCTTTTTGTTGTTGTTTAGTGTGTGCGCATACATGTGCATGTGTGCATGCCATGTGCACTTGCGCTGAAGATTGAACCCTAGATGTTGTGCATGCCTCAGCCTGCTCAGTACCTGGGATTGGAAGGAGGTACCACCATGCCCATCCTATGGTTAATAGTTATCCAGCTATGTCAACAGTGAGTTTGAATGTTAGCTGTCTCAGTGTGTCATAAAACAAGAGAGCTTGTGAAAGTAAATATGGCTTGCCAACACCAATCAGAAGGAAATGGGAGTACTCTGTTAATTTCAGGCAGCAGTTATCAGGAATAAAGAAAGATATAATAATAAAGAGGTCAATTCTGTAAGAAGACATAACAATGAACATGTGTGTACCCAACAACAGAGCTTCAAGAATTCATAGAAGTACATCCAATACTATAGTTGAAAGATTCAGCACCACTTCCATCAGAAATGCACAAATTCTTAGGCAAAAAATCAGTAAGAACACAGTTTAAAAATAGTATCAGTCAACTGGATAAATGAACATCTATAGAATACCTCATCCAATAGCAGACGCACATGAAGCATTCACAGTGACCACATTCTAGGTCACAAGACACATTATAGCAAATTTAATAGAAATCATACAATACTTGCTCTCAGACAACAGTGGAATTAAACTAGAAATCAATAACAAAAACGTTAAAAATCTCCATATACATGGAGGTTAAACAGCAAAATTCTAAGTAACACATGGATCATGGAAGAAAACTCAAAAGAAAACTAAATTAAAGGCCCATATATATGAAGGAGAATATACTTTGTTTATAATATATTCATTCCTGTAAATAGTTCATTCTTAACAAGTAAGTCTGCGGATTTACTGCAACCCAAATCAAACTGCACACACATCCCCATTTGAGGTAGCTGATTCTGAAGTTTATATGGATAGATCAAGGTCCATAAGTAGCTGGACACACTTAATGAAATATAAAGACTGGCTGCCCTACATGTCAGATATTGATGTTAGACTGCATTAAATTAAAAGAGCTCTGTTCATCAAAAGATGTCAGCATGAAAATGAGAAGATACTTGTGACACAAATAACCTTTATAGAACTGGGATCCAAAATATAAACTGAATGAAAAAAAATTGGCCAAGTAATTGAGGTATATCCCAAGAGAAGAAATCAAAGTGGTTTATACACACATAAGATAATTTCAGAATTTCTATTTCCTATCTTTATCACCATATAATACTTTACCTGAGCTAGAACAGCTCTGAGAGAGAAAAGGGGAACATTACTATTTAAGGGTAACTCGTAGGGGCCTGGGGATGTAACTCAGTGACACAGGCCTGTCAAGTGCAAGGTCTTGAGTTTGATTCTTGCTACAAAATCAAATAAAATAACTGGTAGAAACAGACCATTTTGGGGACACTATGAAGTATAGCTCCCCAATTTAGTATATATTATGCTAATTTGTCACCATCATGGGTTATATTTGACCATTCCTTATTCTAGTTTCATAGATTTTCTGATGAATGATCGAGAAATCACTCTTGCAAACACAGTGTTGAAGGCTGTTAAAATAGGGAGCATTTACTAATATACATACTTTTTAAAAAACAGTAAAGCCATTCAAAACAAAATAGTGAAAATGATGAAGGGCTACAAAACAAAGTAACAGGAAATCAACAGTGGCTACCATAATGCCTGTTAACTTGAAAACAGCTGGCCAGACCATCAGATATAATAAAATCAAACAAAACAATAATACAGGATTTTAAAGCAAGATAATAGGGAATAACAGTCGCTACCACCTTCAGAAGGAGATCCCCCGTAGTTAGCAATGTACATACTTCATAGAAAGAATTTTCTATAATCATAATAGACTACTTTGGTGAAATACTGATTTCCTTCTTTTGTCAGATGAAGGGTCATTTTTATTTCTGTGGTTTGTTTGGATTGACCCTGTGAGTTACAATGGGACTTTCTCAGGATTTTCTTAAGGTTTTATTGCATTTAGTGCTTCAGGACTAAAAGAATACTGAGCCATTATGGCAGCACAGGCCTACAATGTCAGCTACTTGGGAGGCAGAGGCAGAAGGATTGCAACTTCAAGGCTAACCTGGGTAAATTAGTGAGACTTTGTCTCAAAATACAATAGGCTGTGGATGTATCTTGGTGATAGAATGCTTGTCTAGTGTGGCAAGGCCCTAGATTCAGTCCCTAAAGCTGTACTCTTCCCATGTTCTCTCAGTGCTAGGCAGAGAAATACCTATGGTACTTCCCTTGTGCCTAATAATAGTTTCCATGTTTAGGTGGACATTCGTTTACAGAATGGATTTGCTCCTGGGATGAAGTTGGAGGTGGCTGTGAGAACAAACCCTGAAACCTATTGGGTTGCCACCATCATTACCACCTGTGAGCAGTTGCTTCTCCTCCGCTACGAGGGCTACGGGGAGGATCGGAGGGCAGACTTCTGGTATGACATTAGGAAAGCCAATCTCTACCCCATTGGGTGGTGTGAGCAGAATAAGAAGACCCTGGAAGCCCCAGAAGGTAATAAAATACATTTGAGACACGAAACGATATTATTGTAAGAGTTTTGATTGTTCAGCCCTGAAGTTTTCAGTCTCCACCCACATAGGTTTACTAAACACTTTTAGATTTTCATTTCGAATGAAAATATTTATAAGAAATCATGCACATTTCTCTGTCTTTTAAAATTTTCTCCCTAAAAGCTCAGGTTTTTATGATGCTCGTAGCGAACACTGGTTGCTTCTGATCCTATATGACTGTGAAGTTCTCTGAGTTTGGGACATGTAAGTTTGTTTTTTAGAACACTGGGCCAATGTGCTGTTGGTGCTCTTTTTATTTTTATTGGCCTATTTCTTCTTGCTACTAAGCAGTCTGGAACTATGAACTCTTAAAATGAACCAACTAAAGGTTCATTCCAGTAAGAAACTCTAGAACACAAATTAAATAGGAGAAAAACAATAAAGGCAAAAGAAAGAAAAAAGTGACAGAGCGTGTGTGTGTATGTGTGTGTGTGTGTGTGTGTGTGTGTAAAAGATAATAAACCCAAACAAAAATAAAGCAAATTAAAACAGAACAATGAAAGCAATATAGGACTTCAAAACAAAATAATAGAAAATCAGCATTTTTCTTCTTACTTTGAAATAATTTTAGGTTTACAAGAAAGTTGTAAGAACAGTATAGAAAATTCTTGGAGTCTTTTTGCTAAGTTTCTCCAAATGTTGACATTTTAGCACATTGGCTTTGTCCTTTCTCCTCTGCCCACGCATGCTGTTAGCAAACTGGATGAGAATCACTTTTAGACATGCTGCCCTTTTACTCATAAGTCCCGTAATGTATCTGTAACACATGGCACTCGTTAATACCATAAAAATGTCAAAAACAGGCAGTAACTGATGCAATTCTATTATTCAGTCTACAGATAATTTGTACGATTTGTCCCAATAACCTTTGTATAAGAAAATCCTAGATTATATGCAGCATTCAGTTGTTGTCTCATAAATAAGTTTCCTTATTAATCTGAATACTTCCTCAGGCTTGGTCTTTTATGGCCTTGGTATTTTGAAACATATAGGCCAGTTTTTTCTATAGTATTCATTACGTCTTTGTCCTAGGAATGTTTTGTATGTCCTGTGTCTGTCCCTGATTCAGGATCTAGTCTAGGATCACATAGTGTCTAGTTGTCATTTCTCCTCAGTTTTTTTAATCTTTGTCTTAACATTTAAAAAAAAATTTTTTTTAATATTTTGAAGGTAGTAAAGTACAACAGAACAAGACAGAACAAAGCCAATTGAGACAGTGCAGTGAATTGGTACAGAATGTCACAACAGGGTTACTGGGATAACAGTTATAGGTGCCATAATATATCTCGTTATCTTCACAATAGTTGTTCTTTCACTCATATGTAGCAAAATCAAACCAAATACAGAACATTACAGAACTTATCAAAACAGAATACTGAGTAGAGCAATACCATTAATCAGAAAAAAGCAAAAGAGTGATAACCATGTTTGCCTTCAGAGAGAGGGTAGAAGGAAATCCCCTTCTGCTATTTCTTTTGCTACCGGGGTGGTGTGGGAGGGTGGGATGGGATGGAATATTTGATATTCAGCCTGCATGCCATAGGCTCACAGCTGCTTACCAGGGAGGCAAGCAGGTTGCTTGGTTTCTGTCTTAACATTTTTGAAGTGTACAGGCAAGTTATTCTGTAGAGTCATCTCCAACTTGGGTTTGTCATATGTTTCCTTAGAATTAGATTATGTCCTTTTTATAGGAAAAATAAGAGAAATTGTGTCCTTTACACAATACAGTATTGTATCCTATTAAGAGATGCATATATTCAATTTGTTGAATTACTGATATAAACTTTCATCACTTGATTAAGGTGGTATATGTCAGGTTTTCCACTGTCAAGTTCTTCCACCCTTTTATATTGGAGTATCTTATGGGAAGATTCTTTGATGTTATGAACATACTGTATTACTTTTCAAACTTTACCCTACTATTTTTAGCATCAATTTATAGATTTTATCTGAAATAGTATTATTCTACTGGCTGCCAAGTACTGTTTTTCTAATGTTTACATTTCTTAATTGAACATGTATAGAAAAATTTGTATGAATATTTTAATACTAAATTTATTGAGGCAGCTGAGATTAATACAAGTTATCTTTGGCCTCTACAATTACCAGAGGTGCTCAGTGTGGTGGTCATTAGTTTCCAAACACTGACTAATATAGCAAAGTAGTGCTTGAGTAATCGTGGTCTTTGAGATTATTGCACATGCATTTTCAGTTTCTTCTCTAAGGGCTGGCAGTGTACTGGGTTTTCTCTGATGTATGACATCCTTTAGGGTCCCTTGTAGGAGGGTAATACCATGTGTTGAAAAAACATGATATTTTTCTTTTTCTGAAGTATGTATGCATTGTATCCATTTTGGGGGCAGATTCTGTGTGTGTGTGTATGTGTGTGTGTGTGTTGTGATTCAGTGTACACTTATAATTGTGTTTTATTCAGTGGGTTATAATCTCATTTTTTAGTCTCATTTGTTTTGATATGAAACTGTCCTAGATTCAGTGAATAGGAACTCCTTCAAATTGGCTAATGTCTTTTTGATAATGTCTTCTTCATTCTTTGAACAATCAATATCAGACTTTGCAGCTCAGAAAGGTTTTCTGTCTCAACTCTGAAGTCAACCATTTCCTCAAGAAGTCCTCATTTCTTTTAGTGAAGGATGGTATTTGGAAATGAAGCTTAAGATCTGATATTATGGTCCTGAGTGGGGATGGATTTTTAGGAAGCTCTAGGGGAAACCCTACAAACACAGAACTACCCCGCCCACTATTTCATCCTAAAAGTATAAGGAAATAGGGACTAGGGATTTAGCTCAGCAGCATAAGCACCTGCCTCGCAAGCAGGCAGTCGTGAGTTCGATCCCTGGTACCAATAAAAAGGAAAAAAGAAAAAAAAAACTTTCTTTCTTTCTTTCTTTTTTTTTTTTAATTTAAGAGGAAAAAGAGAAAAACACAAAACAAACCAAAGCGGTGTAAGGGTACACGTAATACAGAACTACAAAAAAACAAAACAAAACAAAACAAAAACAAAACAAACAAAAAAAAACCATAACAGTAAGAAGTCACCTGTTAGTAGATTACATATTATCATCTTGAAAATAGTTCCTCAAATCACAGTATCAAAGAATACAAGGTGGACATTCAAACAGGGAGACTGCAAACAGCTGTGTTCAATGATCCAAAAACATTGATATAGTCAGCTATTTAACACCCCTAAACACACTTGCTGTTATATCCATTAGAGCTCTTTTTCTTTTTTTTTTCCCTCTCTTTTTTACAACAAAATTTACACATTTTGGATTTTATTACTCCTTAGTGCTTATTACTTTTTTGCGGGGGGAAAGAATACAGTCAAATATGGCAAAACAAAGCTGTCAGTCAATACCAAGGATAGACATAGCACATGGTGTAGAACAGAGTATAAGTTTATCAACAATGGTTATCAACGTTGTCCCTTGTTTCCTTAAAAAGAATTGTCTATCTCATTAGATATTATAAAGTTGGACAAAACAGTAGAGAACAAGACCAGTAAAACTTAGGCATTGTAAACATTACAGGACTTCCAAAGAAGACAATAGTCAAACCAGAATGGGTATCTTAGTGAATCTTATTTTCTTCAAAGTAGTTGCCTATGTCTTCAAACTTGATACTACCATATAGAATGGAACAGAGTCTAATCAGTCAAAACAAGATCGTGGGAGTACTACAGGACTTCAAAACAAGTTAATAGGAAATCAAAAAGAGTTACTATTTATATATCCTAATTTTTTGAATTTTTTCTTTAATTAAGACAAACATAAGAAATGACTAAATAATTTTTTTAAAACAATAAGGGGGAGATTGAGATAAAACAGGACATAACAATATAACAATAGAGGTCACAGCATGACTGTTTCAACAACCGAGTATTTCACCACCATATAACCTGACTTAATAGTAGTTACCATAGTGTCTTTTTCCTTGAAATATTTGGATAAAACTTCATATACTCTAGCTTCGAATATTTTCATATCAAGAAGCCCAGAATAAAGCCTTTCTAATTAATGAGTGAAAACTTTATAAGGCTCCAAGGCCACCTAATGGGGAATCATGATTACCACATACTTTTATATATTTGAATCATTACTTACATTAGGGAAACTATTCGGTATTCACACATGCGAGATTGATTTATTTCACTTACGAGTATGGTCTCAAGCTGCGCCCATTTATTGACAAATATCTCAATGTGATCCTTCTTTATAGCTGAATAATACTCCATTGTATAGAAATACCACAACTTTTTTATCCATTCCTCAGTTGATGGACACTTGGGTTGTTTCCAAGATCTGGCGATTACAAATTGTGCTGCTATAAACATAGGTGCACATATATCACTGTGGTATGATGCTTTCAGTTCTTCTGGGAATATGCCTAGAAGTGGAATAGCTGGAATAAATGGGATTTCCAGTCCCAACTTTTTGAGAAATCTCCAGACAGATCTCTACAAAGGCTGTACCAGTCTACACTCCCACCAGCAGTGCAGGAGAGTTCCTTTTTTCCCACAGCCTCTCCAGCATTTGTTGTCGGTTTTCTTGATCCTGGCCATTCTTTCAGGAGTGAGATGGTATCTCAGTGTGGTTTTAATTTGCATTTCTCTAATGACCAATGATGATGAGCATTTTTTCATGTATTTATTTGCCATTTGCATTTCTTCATCTGAGAATTGCGTATTCATCTCAGATGCCCATTTTTGGATTGGATCTTTGAATTTTGGAGGTCTGAGTTTCTTTAATTCTTTATATGTTTTAGACAAGAGGCCCTTGTCTGAGAGTTCACTAAAATCTTTTCCCAGTTTGTGGGTTTTCTTTTCACTATGCTGGAGATTTCTTTTGACATGCAGAAACTTTTTAATAAGAAGTGGTCCCAGTTATTGATTCTGGGAAGTATTTCCCGTGCGGTTTGAGTCCT